CAAAATAGAGTACAGTACATAAGTGCCGTAAAGTATTACAGTATTACTATTTGAGTCCACCAGGAGTAGTACTAATTACGGCCGCACTTGCGAGCCATTCCATCCTAGGATTCATACCTAGATTGGTATGCGTCTTGACATTGTGTCCAAGACCATGCGCGCTGCCCGGTGCTTTGCGGCTCAATGCCAAAGTCAGCAATTCCGTTCAGCTCATGCATCAGCCATGATGCGATCTGCTACGGCTGTCGATGCCAATCAGAATGGCCGCTTCGTGAGTCTACTACCTGTAGCGGCCGCCATGGCGCTCATCGGTGCGGCCAGCGTAGCCAGCGGATATGATAACTCATCTTCTAAGTGCGAGGGCGCGGCTAAGCCTGTGAGCCGCGAAGCCGTTTCCCAAGCAATGCTGAAAGAGGTCGTAGCTAAACTAAATCGCATCGAAAGTGCTGTGGCCAACCCGCACCGCCACACAGACGGCTTGAACGCCGGTGTAGATGTTGTGCTTGGCGCTCAGTGGGGTGATGAAGGAAAAGGAAAACTCGTGGACAGTTTGTCTCAATCGTATGACGTAATTGTGCGAGTGGCTGGCGGCTCAAACGCTGGTCACACTATTGTACACGAGGGTAAGAAGTACAAATTTCACCTAGTGCCGTCTGGTATTTTAAATCCAAACGCCACATGCATTATCGGTAACGGTGTCGTGGTGCACTTGCCGAGTTTTCTTGAAGAGCTCGAGGAGCTCAAGCGAATGGGCGTTGACTGTGAAGGTCGGATCTTTATCTCAGATCGTGCCCACATGGTGTTGGATCTGCACCAGGAAGTTGACGGCATTAACGAGCTGCGTCGCGGCAGAAACAAAATTGGAACTACCAAGAAAGGTATAGGTCCAGCTTATTCGTCCAAGATGCTGCGCAATGGTGTGCGTGTCGGCGACTTGCGCTATTTCGATGACTTTACTGAAAAGATGCGTGACTTGGTCAAGTTTTATCAAGACAATTACCCAGAGCTTGATGCAGATGTCGAGGCTGAAATTAAAGTTTACAACGACATGAAGGATATAATTCTGGGCATGACTGTAGACTCGGTATCGTACTTGAACAATGCTTATGTGGCGGGCAAAAAGATTTTAGTCGAGGGTGCTAACGCCACGATGCTTGATATTGACTTTGGCACGTATCCATATGTTACATCAAGTAACCCGAGTATTGGCAGTGTCTGTACCGGAGGTGGTATCTCGCCGAATCGTTTGAATGGTATCATTGGTATTGTCAAGGCGTACTGCACACGAGTTGGTGAAGGTCCCTTCCCTACGGAACTACACGACAAAGTTGGTGAACATTTGGGCACAGTTGGTGCCGAATTTGGCACGACCACGGGTCGCCCTCGTCGCTGCGGTTGGCTGGACATTCCACAAATGCGCTACTCAAACATGGTCAATGGCTTTACCGAGTTGAACTTAACCAAATTGGACGTGCTAACGGGTCTAGAAAAGGTGAAAATCGGAGTCGCATACTGGTACAAAGGCAAAAAGTTGGATGGTATGCCATCAAATCTGCAGCTACTTCAGGATTCTGTCGTAGAATACGAAGAGTTGGATGGGTGGTCGGAGGACATCTCGAAATGCAAGACTTTTGAAGAATTGCCACGTGCGGCTCAAATGTACGTTTTGCGTATAGAAGAGCTGCTGGGTACGCACATTAAATGGATTGGCGTTGGCCCGGACCGCTTTGACGTGATCACGCGCCCACATCCGTTGGAGAAGGCATACAGTTCAAGCAACTAGATGGTACGAAATGTTAAATGCAGTAAAAGGTTTTGGTGATCCAATACATGACACTTGGCATTTCTCTGTAAAGTATTCATAACTCATGTCTAAATCTTAAATCGCAATTAATCTGATTTGCTGACAAGTCACAATGGCCGAGCGGCAATTTAAGATCAAAGTAGGCACTTTGCGTCGGTGAGTATGGTTGTGTGTGCATTTATACATGACAAAGCTTTAGTATCTTCTATCTAATAACAAATGCTTAGAGTCAAGAAGGATCTCGAGTACTACGTGAATGACCACGCGACCCAGCAGGCTAAGATCGAAAAAATGCGCGCAGAGGGCAAAGATACACACGATATTCGCAAGCAAGAGGAAGTCCTAGTAGAAACGGAGACAATGCTTCCAGATTGTCAAAGTCGTTTGAAAGAAGCAATTACTGACCTTTCCAACTTTATTGAGGCTCATCGTGACGAAGTGGAGCCGCTCGAGACGTTCCAGGAAGCTCAAGAGCTGCTCGCAACGATCAATACACCCCTTTAATTGACAGGACTTGATCATACATCCCCATAATGATTAAAGCATCTTCTTTTATTAGATCCTCTCACGCACTTATAGAATAGTCATTTCGTTTTGATCAGTCTTAAGCTAACTAATCGCGCATTAGCTCAAAATCAACAAACTTCGTGGAAAACCCTCTCAGACTTCATTATCATGCTTTTGGCCGTAATTTTGTCACTGACAGCCGCTACTGACGGTGCAGCGCTTGCTGGCGATAAAAGTCCTCAAGTTTCGCAAGAATGTTCATCGTATTGTGCTTAAGAATCTTTCGAATGGCCATGACAATTTCTTTGCCAGTAAATTCCGTGTCTTCATCAAAAGCATCTTGAAAATGGAAATAAATGTCGTTCATAAACTCCTTGAAAAGTTCGCTCAGCGCCGCGTATTCTTTATCGTTTCTCGCTGACTGCAACTGACTCATTTCGTGTTCCTTTGTTGCAAGCAACTCCTGATAATGTTGTACATCTGAACGAAACCCTTCTGCTCGTTGCTTTAGCACTTTTTGTTCGTTTTCAAGCTGCTGGACGTGATTTGAAAGCTCTTGCACGCGTGAATCCTGAGCTGCTTGTGTTCTGACCGTTTCATCCTGAAGTTGCACTTGTTGATTCTGCGCTTGACTTAACCGATTGTTCAGCACCTCCCGCTCCACTTCCCACTGCTTTCGCTGCGCTGTAAATTCAGCAACTTGCGCCTCAAGTGCAGCTTTCTCATTCGCCAGCTTATTGACCGAATCTTTTGAACTCTGGCGTACATCATCTTCAACCTGCCGTCGAAGCACTTTCAACTGCTCTTGCGTCTCTTCTTGCAGCTTTGCCTTCTCCTTCACAAGCTGTTCATCCTTTGCACTAAGCTGGGCTCGAAGTTGAAAATTTTCTTCTTGATATACCAGCATTTGTTCCTGTGTATGACTGAGCTGCTGTTGCACACTTCGTAGCTCCAGATGAAACTTCTCCTGCTGCAAGTGGTTTCCGTTTTGTATCTTGTCCAGCAACGTTCGGTTCTCCATTTGAAGGGACTCGTTTTGGCTTTGCAACTCTTCAAGATTCGATTCAAAGTCACCATTTGCTTCTTCAAGTCGAGTATTTACTTCTTGGAGTTGGTCACGCTGAGCAAGAGCTTTCTCCAGATTTTTCAACAGCATTGATGATGACGACGCTGTAGAAGATTGGAAAGCACCGCTATTATATTTGCTCGCAGTCGTGGTAAATTTGGCCGATTTAATCGAGTTATGCGAATTCAATAGCCGATCCATCTTGGACTGAAGGTCTTGTAGAGTTGATTCGATCGATGTTGAAGACCGTTGCAAGCGAATAATTCCATTTTCCAGATCCAGTGATGGTCCTGTACCTGAAATACTAGAAGAAGACGAGAATAACTGCTTATTGTAAGGGGTAAGAGATAATGAGAGCGCACTGGGAGCCGAAGGAAGTGCCGGAGGTGGTAATGATGGAGGAGCATGTTGAAGAGGTGAGAGCGACGATCCAAGATTCAAAGATGGTGGCGTCCAGGTGTTTGTCGTTGCTCCATGAGAGGCGATCGGTACAGCGCTTGAACCCATGAGTGCAAATGCCGATGGTATGAATGATGACACGGGTTTGTCTCGCGATAATTTGTGTGCAGCCAAACTCGATGAAAGGCTAGCAGTGCGAGGAGATTGAGCCGATAAAGCACTTGAGTTCGTGTTTTCCAATTCCAGTTTGCGTTTACTCTCTTCTAACTGCTCACGAAGTTGAGCTAAGTCTGACTGCTCTTTCATCAAGCGATCCATGTCACTTGATACTAAAGTCAATTTCATATTGTCTGCAGAGTCATTGCGGAGCTTGGAAGAGACTTTCCGTGGCTCCAGCACTTTTGCGGCTAGCGAGGTTGCATGCGAAGTTAAAGTGAAATTTTGAGAATTTGTGTCATTGTCAACATTGTGTAGCGAGTTTGGACGTTCACCAGGTAGCTGGAGACCTGCTAACAGCACAGGTACCGAGCCTGCTAAAGGATCTCCCGCCTGGTGTCCAACGGAAGTTGTTTGAGACACTCCCGTGTCATGATCACTATTTAATCCACCAGCTGTACGATTATCCAGTTGCGTCTTCACACTGGCCAACAGTCCCGACGTTTGACTGCCCATGCGAGACAAACTTGCCATGCGTTTGACTAGGTCCTCTCGATCTTCTTGGACTTGTCTATCATTCAGCGAATCCTCACTACTTGTAGTGGTTCTAGACTTGATATTCTTCTTGACTTTAACTAATTCTGCTTCAGCAATGATCCACTCGTTCGTATCTGGAAACGTTACAGACACGAGTCGCTTTCCCATCTTTTTCATTCCGATAAGGGCTTCGGTGGCAAGAATCCGCAAAAAACGATCTATTTCGCCTATTTCCTCCTGTAATTTTATTCTTTGTACGTCGCTAGATGATTCACTTGTAGGATGTTTCGTGATATCCAGCGGATTGGCTGTAAAAAATCGATCCCTCTCTTTTGTCGTCCCCTGCCACTTCCTGAGCGTCACACCCGCGACATCTCCAAAAGTAAGCGGCTCTGCATCTTCCCTACCTATACAAAGCTGATCCACAAGCACTCCTGGCTTGTGACGGTCATATGACTTGCTTGCGTGCACGAAAACCTGCGCTTTGGCATACGACAGAGCAGACATGAAGCTTTCGCTCGATATTGCGTCCTTGAAACGCATCGCATAATTTCGCTGCGTCTGGCGCTCGTAAAAATTGATGTAGTTATCTTTCTGAGGCACAAAGCGCGCGCTAGGCGTCACGGGAAGCTGCAATAGTGGTGTCTTTTGAGTGTCGTAAAGAAGCAGAGAAAAGGCATCCGATCCGCTTTGCACCGCCCGCTCTCCCGCAAGAAGAACACAGCCTACTGCCGCGTCTGTTTGCTGCGTGTACGAGCCTTGAGCATCGTCGAAAAGGTACAAATACACGGCACACGAGTGCAGCAATGCGCCAGCTTCCGCCATCTCTTTGCAATATTGAGATTATAAAGCCACACTTAAGTAATAGTCATAATGAAATACTGGAACGACACAACGTAATCATTAACTTATTGAACTGTACTAGGGATAATGTTGTGAACCGGGTTGGTCATAATGCTTCCGGTTTGACCCAACCATGACCCGGGTCAGGCGATGTCATCCTACACAAAATTTGATAACTCCTTTTTATGAGGCAGTCAAAATAAGCTCAATTTTTATCGAATACGTAGAAAGGTGACACAGTTAATCAATAAGCTTTAACATAATCTATTGCTTACTTCTACACCCCAACTCACCATTCACTACCAAGCGCCAACACCGGACAATAATTTGCCGAAGGGAAGAAGTTTTCCACTAGCAGTATAGTGCGGTAGAACGCGAATCATCAACGAATCACTTGATCACCACATACTAATTCTCGACGGACGAGGACGAGAAGTCCACTGTTGGATGGCTGAATCACCTCCCATCCTCAATCATCATCATCGCTACTTTATAGTAGTGCTTTTCATCACTTTGTGGGTTGTTACAATAACATTAGAATCATTATAATTACTCTCCACTGGTAAAAAGTCCTGTACCTTTTACTCGCCACACTTTGAGTAGAATGCTGCCAATTCTTTAGGGCACACCCAAATATGCTCCGGAGAAAAAGGTTTTGTTGAAAGCAATTATACTGCCTACACGTGCATTCGTAATATTAACTTGCGACCGCGCCACACCGAGTCATTCACGTTCGCACGCATTTTACCTTTGTTTCTTTGACTTTGCCTCCGGACTCGGTGGAGTATGAATTATATATACAATTTGACCTGGTGATATCATTTTGCTTCGTAAAATATCACATTCGGTCTAATGAGGTGAGGCGTCATGAACCTAGTGCGTAATGCCACTGCTTAAAAGCTAGGATGGCAACATACAGATTTCAAAAGCTTGGGAAACACAAATGAATAGCACACATGCTGCGTCAGATCGCGATCATGAGTAAGATACACTCTTATCATTCCAAATGGAATACGAAGATATCCTATATAAATGTGGACTTATCACGAACGTTCTTTTACCATTCTCTTAAGCTGGGCTACCCGGTAATTCGGAGCAGCATTACGGCTCTAACCCCCTGGTAGTGCCTTTAAGCAGTGCGATGACGTAGCTGAAAAAGAGCATTCGAAAAAATGCCCATCTCACTTTTGGTTGCACAATTAAACGGTCGGAGAGAATCGATATACTGACCCGGGATAGCTCACCAGAGCCAGCCATAAAACGTCGTCCTCGGCCAATGCTGCATAATGAGCAAGGGTTGGCGCGCACTTTTGGTCAGTGGAATGAGGGCCAGCCATACCACAACCACTATCTTATAAAGCCGAGGGGGTACGCTCATCCGAAATCCTCATGTGAAATTGAATTTGAAATTTCGCAAAAAAAAAGAAGCACCGTTTCCGCTTATGACTCGACGTATCCTCCACCTTTATCTCCCTCGCAGGGGGAGAATAGTCACCCGTTGCAGCGTTCTATCTATAGTGAGCGGGTCCGAACCTTGTTGCTAAGTTAAACTTCTGGTCGGTAGCTGCAAGAGCTGTCCCATAAAAATGAGAGGCTATTATTAGCTAGAACCGAAGCTGATACTTGTATCGCTGATACGGAAGGAGTCTTTCGTGTGAATCCGTCTTCTTTTGAAGAAGCGGTGGACGTGGCATTGAATGCCAAATTTAAATTAAAGTTGACACGACCTGGCTGAAATGCATGTCCTCAGAGCTCGTCGAGCGGACCTGAGACAATTGACCTCAGCATTGCTGAAATAGAGGAGGAAGAGCTCTGAGCTGCTGAGCAGCGTGAAACACGCGAAGGTGTTTTGTTTGTGAAGACATCCGTCACCTTCGGATGGGCTGTCCCTTGTGCAAGGCGCGTAAAGGTTCGTAGCACCGATGTCCCGATTTTAACCAGTCTGGTTTGACGCGGGGGAAGGAGAACACCCAGTAGGTGCGGGGTGCTTTGCTGGGGAAGAACTGAGTTCAGTTGAGCCTCAAAGAGGTACAGGGCAGCAAGGCCCAGCCACGAAGAGCTGCGTGCTCTTGAGCACGGAACGTTTGTGCAAGCCAGCTTGCTGGTCATAAAATCGACCGTGAAGGGCTTTGTAAAGCCATGGAGTGTACTTATCGATTCTGGTGCGTCGGGCAATTGTGCTCGACGCCCCACGATTGAAGAATGTCAGCTGTATGCTGAGGCACTGGAAGCGCGGTTAAGTGACGCAGTCAGTGTTCGCATAGCGACGGGAACTTGTTTCACTGTGCCGTGGGTCCCTGTGGACCTCGGTGTCAAGTTCTGTTACTTTGATAGTGTGAAACGCAGTCTCGTCTTAGGCTTGGATGCGAGGTATGACCTTATCCTTGATATGGCTTGGTTGAACCACCGTGACCCATGAATTGATTGAACGTCGAAGACCTCAGGCGCTACGCCCACGTCTCCAGATGGAGCATTGGATAGTCATGAATACACCTCTGCCATAAAGCAAAGGCGCAGTTGGCATGGGCACTGGACCGAGACGGTGAAGGTGCTGGAAATCGGAGTCTCCGAGTTGTCAAACACCAAAAGTGCTTTGGGTAGGAGTCCCGGGCGTGGCTTGCGGGCTGAACGTGGAGTGACACGTAACACACTGAGTGCTACCCAAATATTGGAGCAGTCGCAGCATGCCATGCGTGGCATGGTCGACCAAGGGGCTAGGCATCAAGGGCAAGGCCCCTGTGATGCACGTGGAGTGGCACGTAACCTACAAGTATCCAAGCAGTTACTGCATGCCAAGGGTGGCATGGTCGGACAAGGGCCGAAACAATGAGGGCGAGACCCCAGTGTTGCAGGTTGAGTGGCTCGTAACCCACTGAGCACTGCTCACGTTTCGAAGCAATTGCTGCATGCATGGTCGATCGAAGTCCAATCCACCCTGGACAAGACCTTTCGGATGCACTGGAGTGACAATTTATCAACTGGACGAAGACTGAAGAAATAGCAGCTCTTCGCTGAATGTTTTTAATATCATCAAGGTTCCGATGGAGCAGGAATTAGGAATATCATTCGCTCTCATGAGCAATTGATAATAACCATCGACCAAGTCGAGTGCGCTGTGCTTTGTACAGCCAACCATATTGTTCTGTGGAACATCCCTGTTAGGGTTTGGCGTTTGTGCCGGAATGGTGGCAGTGTTTAGGCGTGAACGATGCGCCACTTGCCGTTCGGCTTCCGTTCACTGTCGGATGGGGAGACTTGCTCTCACGCACCATTTATTATTCGTGCTTCACACAGAAAAAGGCGTCAATTACGTCACACTGCTTCTCGGACAGGGGCCATTGGCGTGTTACGCAGAATTTGTTTTCCGAAGCCAGGTCAATCTCATGACGCACACGACGGTCCGGAGGTAGGACCAACGGCGGGTCTTTGGAGACGACGTCTTGAAACTCTTTTATCAAAGGATAGTACGGATCCGAGGGATCCTTCAGGGTCAACGATCCACTTTGTGCGTTCAGCACCCTCTTGGTGTCCTCTAAGACAGCTTCACCCAGAAGCCACGACTTCCTCGTTTGGTCGTATATTAACCACATCGGCTAAATTGCCTGCCTTCAAGGCACCGCCAAACTCTTCCAAGGACATCTTGTCCAGCTCAGAAAGAGCATTCACCGCGGGAATAAATTCGAGGGTGACATCGCCTTATTTCTCTCCCGTCGAACCGTTTCCGAGGATGTATAATTGTGCGCTATCGTCTACGGTAGACACACCCTGGGTCAGGATTGACGCCCTGCGTCTTGCAGATAACAAACGGCTTAGCCTTCTCCTCTCTATAGAATTTACGTCTCATCGAGACCAGTGGATACAAGCGTCGTCTTGTGTCCCCACTTCCTGCTACATCGGAGCCTTGATGTTATCAACAACATCTGACGAAGAAATGCTATTTCCGCAATATTCCTCCAGCGGATAAGGTGCAACTACATGCGCATCAGAAGATCCTTGCTCAAGATGCCTCGGACCCCGTCCGACCATGCCTCTCTTGGCATGCAGTAACTGCTTCGAAACGTGAGCAGTGCTCAGTAGAATACATGTCACTTCACGTGCACCACTGGGGCCTCGCCTTCGATGCTCCGGACCCCGTCCGACCATGCCTCTCTTGGCATGCAGTAACTGCTTCGAAACGTGAGCA